TTTAAACTAAATATCATTTATTTTGTTCTCTGACAAGATTTTTTTTCATTCACATTCTAAATACCAGAATTAGTCTGATAATTCCTGGCTGGAATCCAGTAAGGTTATATCAAACCATGTTAGATGTAGAACCATTTACACAACAATATAAATAATATCAACACTAATAATCAACATTTACTCATTCCTTGCATTCCATTTGCCTCCAAAAAAGACATTACTCACAAAGTCTTGACAAGATAAATGTGGAATTCATGAGAAAAAACATTTAGTAATTCCATCCTTTGGTTATACTGCCACAGTATTACAAGATTGAAGGTACTGGTCAGGGTACAGGTGTTAGCCCAAGCAACCAATGACACAAGTGTATCTATTGGAGAGGTTTGTCTACTGTCTCCACAGGATTTGGCTTTTCTAAAAAGTAATATAAAATCCTAGCCTTTTCAGTAGATTTCTTGAACAGCAGATTTCCCTTAAAACATCCCTTATCCCTGATGCTGACATTAACCTGCCAAAATATTTATGCAAGAGGCAAGAGGCACTTTGAAGAAATGTTACATACAAGTTTCATTCAAGTTTTTGTGAACTTTTAGTTTCTCTGCAAGGGACTCTGCAAAATCCACATTGCAGAAGACTGAGAGCAATGCCAGTAAATGACGTAGTTTTATTCAGACGCACCCGCCTTGAGTGACCTGGCGCTAGCAATATACTACATATCTATCATCTTCAAACTGGAGATGTATCTAGATAAGGAACTTTCATTAAGGTTGTTTTTATTTTTATTGTTAACAATGATTATATTTAATAAAAAAATAATAATTAAGATAGAAGTATTAATATTACTCACAATATTAATAAACTAAAAATTATGAACTTAAGTCCTCATTACAGTAACTAAAAACCATGAAAACAGTAAAAATGTTTTGTTTTTTAATGAATGGATACTAATTTGTAGTAACCTATGACATATATTCCAATACTTAAACGTTATTTTAAGTTTCCCCCCCTCTGAGCGTAACTTATTAACCTGTTGGTGAAAGAATTTTAAAATCTACTCTTTATACAGCATACTGTTAAGAACTGGTTGCCATAGTCTCACATAAATGGCAAGAATGGATGATCCTGAAACATCATCCAGTCATTCCATACTCCTCTTCCTACCGCCTGCTAAACCAAACACAACAAGCTTATAAATCCTTGACTGCACTTGTTGTGCATTGCTATAGCACGGCATCCTTCCTCTAAAGGTCTCATTACAAGACTATCTTAAAATATTCTTGTCTAATTATTTATTGTACCTCTACTTTCTACGCAATCTTACAGGCATGCCTTTCCAACAGGCCATTGCTAATACATCCCAAAAACTGAAGAAAAATCCAAGTATGAACTAAGGACACTGGGTAGTAAAAGCCTGGGCCCTAATGTTGTACTGGCAGTGGTATGGTGAAGCTTGTGTGTATCACACTGTGCCATGTATGCGCAACTTTTGTACTTGTGGCCTGTTTGCAGCAGCATAACCCTGAGTTCTGGGGAGAGAACTGCATCACTGTACACTGCACTTCTTGTCCCCAACTTCACCTGCAAAAGGATGAGAACGTCTCAAGTAAACTACCTTTTCCTGTAAATAAATAAAATGTTGCATCATTAGTGCTTTCATTAATATATTATATTTATTGTATAAAACAGCAATACAGTCAAGATATTCATGATTCTAATAACATAATTTCATAACTTAAAAAAAATAAACTTCTACCTTTCTACATTCAATACAAACATGCAAGAGTGAACATTTATAAAGTAAATAGGTATTAACAATTATCATTTTACTATTAGTTTTTAGAATAGACCATGCATAAACAAAAATACCATACACATGTGCACACAAACACCTGCACAAAGTGTGTTCATTCTATGATTATGATCATGTATATTCCCTCTCCCTGAGGTAGGTTCAGTGCAAATCTGCTAACAGCTGTCTTGCCGAGTCTTTCACTCTAGCAGCTGCTGTCACAAGGAGGGAGGGCTACTTCTTTAGTTATATCTAAAAAATTATTGCCTGCTTAGTTATGTCAATATTCATATACTATAGCTAAACATTACATTAAAACATCATGTATTTAGTTTTATTTTACAAATGAAAGAATAAGTAACAGTCACATTTCATGAGTCACCCAGTAGTGGTTTCACCCAGTAGTGGTTGAACTCAGCTACCAATATTTCAATATTATATTACAAGATTGTTATTTTTAGATTTCCTGAAGTTATACTAGAGAAACAAGAAAAGCAATGGTGTATTGCCATACTTATTATCATACTACATCTATAAACTCTATACACAACAAAACTCACTGGCTATAGCTTTTGTGCAACAACACTATTTACCCAATGCAAAATAAAAGACACAGACAGATGTACAGACATATATATATACAGACAGACAGACAAACACACACTCATACTCATACTCACTCTTACTTCTCTACACTGAGGTAAACCAAACTTAAATATTAATATATAATATTTATAATAATCATGGCTGTTTTATCTGTTTACAATAACCAAACATAAAACCAAATAAGCCATATTATATAATAAAAAATTATTACAGCAAAAGTTTTTTTTTTATTTCTAAGTAACCACAATAATTAATTAATCCATTCAGGTAATTAAACATACAATACTATTACTCCACATCAGATATGAATATTTAGACTGGCTCTTCATTTCAATTGGTAATACAATATATTTAACCCAATGCCTCCAGAAGAATTAGGGGTTCACAGGGCTTCCCCTCCAGGGAGTTAGCATGGCTGACTGGGCTTGCCTCCAAGGCCTCCTTCCAACACAGCTGGGTACCTAGCACTTGCCACATCCCATCATGAAAGTTAATTTTGTGTGTGTGTGTGTGTGTGTGTGTGTGTGTGTGTGTGTGTGTGTGTGTGTGTGTGTGTGTGTGTGTGTGTGTGTGTGTGTGTGTGTGTGTGTGTGTGTGTGTGTGTAACACTTTTATGCAAAACATGATTTTTATATTTTTGCGTAGTCCAAGATACAAGGTATTCATTTAAGTTGCTAGCCTGAACCTGTAGTAGCTTGATTACGTACAATAGAGTCTATTTCCATAAATAAGGCATGTAACACACACTGTATAAAAGATGGAATGTCATTTTGTAGAGGGATATATATAAAAAAAGGGTCTTATTTACGCAAAGCTTATTTTTTCGAGATAAGAGATGGAATGCACTTATACACAAGGCTGTTACTCCCATGGCTCCAGTACTTCCCTTTAGTGTGTCACACTAAAGGGAACATTAAAAGACAATGTGAGTGGTTAACACGAGGAGGCTGATCAAGTATCTAGAGTGAAGATTACTAAGGTCACAGCAGCAGCAACAGAGCACAATGTTTTGGTGCATGACATTTTCACAAAACAGGCAAATTATTTATTTGCTAAATATCACCTCTTTCGTACATACAATAGCCAATCATGGTATTACATGTCCCATTTTCTCTCAGGCAATATCCTAAGGGCAAGCGGCATGTGGGCATGTGGGTACCTAATACAGAACATAAAAAGTAATGCATGCATCACTGTAACATGGTATGAATGACATTTTGCCCGAAACCACTCCCAAGTCAGCCCCAACTTGAATGACTCATCACCCAGTGTCACAACCAAGGCAACTTTAATGTGAACCCCACATCATCTGGAGGCTAAGGGTTAACCGAATTGCCCTGTTTGGCATCTATTCTTGCCATGCTCATAAGTGCCCCCAACCCATATGGCATCTAACCTTGCCATGGATTGTAGCCCTCAGTCCATTTGGCATGCATTCTTGCCATGATGACTGACTGCGTATTGTTATTCTAATCGAACACATGTCACTGCTGATGGTTTTATGTGACTGGTTGATAATTATGGTATAACTAATTAATGATGTGTAATCACATGATTTGTTTATACTAGATTACATGATTATGAGGTAATTTGGCCTGACTGGCTGGAATATAGCAATGGCTCTGATTGGTAGATTAGGTCACATGGTGTGATCTGATTGTTGCAACATGGAAGGAAGACGATCCCAGTCACTTTCGCACTCCCGTGAACCCCAGCCTTCCACTTCAAGAGCTAAGCCATTAGCATGCACCTCAGATGAGTCCTCAGATGATTTTAAGGACTATGAAATGCCCAGTGATGATGAGCTGCATTATGTGTCAGCAAATGACACTACAATTGCCACCACACTTGATAGCGATGAGCCACTTGCTCAGTATTCCATCCGAAGATGGAATAAAAATGCACCAGGAACTCTAAACTTCTCTTGGAGCCAAAGAGAAAATGTCCCATGGCAGCTAATATTCCAGGGGTATTGTGGCATTCACAAGCAGCTGGATGAGGAATCCACAGTTCTAGAGGCCTACAGGTCTTTTGTCACCAACAAACTTCTTGACCATATCATAGAGGAGGCAAATAAGTATGTTGAGTTGATATGCATATATTTGTCCATAGTTCTGTTATATACAGGCAGTAAAGGTAATCAAGGTAACTACATGAACTAATTCTTCTTAGTATTGTTTGTGTGCAGATTTGCTAAGGTCAACAAGAGGACCCAAAGGCATGGCCGTAGGTGACCATCGAGTTTCACCATACCTGGCTCCGCAGATGCTGATGGGTCTGAATTACAAACCTTGTTTGGCCTACTATTGGTCCTGGAATCCAGGGTTCTATATGGAGGTTTTCCATTCGACCATGCCTTATGAGAGATTCAAGTAAATCTTTCGCAATCTGCACTTCACAGACAATGAGGCAGTGCATGACGAGGAAGACAGGTTGTGGAAGCTGAGGCCGGTCTTATATATTTTTGGGGCTCAGTTCCAGGCAGTGTACATCAAGAAAGAACATTTCCATCGACGAGTCCCTGTGGAAGTTCCGAGGCCACCTCAGTTTCAAGACATTTAACCCAAGTAAGCAATTTCGGTTTGGCATCAAGGTCTACAAGTTG